CACACACACACACACACACACACACACACACACACACACACACACACACACACACACTCACAAACATACGCACTCAAAAACACATATATACACACACGCGCGCCCAAACCTACATAAACACGTGCACACACATTCTCACTATATTAACATAATACATAAAATTATTATACTCGGCCAGCTTTATTCGGACAGTCCGAATAGTCATTTCGTTTATACTCTGGCTGTACCTTGATGTTGCCCGAAGTTTAAAAATCTCAGTAGAGTTCGAATTTTTGCCTTGTGTCACGTCAAAGTTCCTCTGAGACCATTGACATCTCGAAGAATATTTTTTTTTTAATAATAAAAAAAAGAAGAACTTTTATAAAGACCAAAGTTTTGAACTTGTATTACACACTCTGCCGCTACTTCAGCTTCCTTTATTCTATACATGTGCAGGATATAGACCACTATTGCTTCACTACTTCTTCATGAAAATCAGAAACATGAAAATGTAACCACCCAATCATCGTGTTAAAGCCTTGCACTACCCACTCATGCAGCATGTCAATTTAAAGCTAAATAAATCCTGCATCATCTGACACAATAATATTTCACTTATGTTCAGGGATGTTCGAGATATGGTCACTTAAAATTGACCTTAAAAATTCAGGCATGACAAAATTGGGCGAAATCAAAGAAACGTAAAAGTGTGTTCGCGCGTGTATTGAGGTTCATCAACGTTAGCAGAATGGATATGTATTGAATATCAAATGAAAAGAAAATATTGTTGTCTCTGCAATGAACAGCTTCTTCTGAAGTACATTTTCAAACAAGTTAGAAAACAGATTACTTACAAATACCATGCTGAACTTAGACTTAACATTGCATGTGCTCATTAGTATGATTTTGTTTTTGTTTAGGAGCCATTGGTCTTCTTGTAGAGCACAAACCTTTTAGCACATGGCTGTGTAAGCTAGATTTTGGACTACTCATCTGTCAGTGAGAGCAGAGGCCATGAAACTGTCTTTGTTTGGGTAGACTGGGACGGAATGTA